ACTCTGGTCGAGAAACTTAAGACTGGGACCAAGTACAAGTTCCCGAATGTGAGAGAGTCCGTGATGGAAGACGAGAAATTAGCACTTACAGTTGCAGCAAAGACGTACTTGCAAAGGCTCTCAATAATCCGGACAAGTCCTCTATCCGACGCCAACCGCGTCAAGGTAACAAGCCACTTCGCCTTGCTTGTCTTGACGTACCCTATGTGGACCCAACAATGGCCATTGGGAGAGCTGGAAAGCATTGGTAGAGAGACATGAAAGTTGATTGGTGAGAATGGTGGGAGACACCCTCTTAGCTCTACTGCATTGCTCAAGCGGACCTCAAACTAGACAAGACAACTCTGATCATTGGCGCAAACTAAGTGCAAGGACAGGCATAATGCCGCACTAAAGGTGCTGTTCTTTGATATGTTGAGGGAACCTCAAGCTTGACAACTCTGTTCCTCCTTCTTGGTACTCACGGGTGGAGCCTAAACCCGTTGTACGCTCAAGCATACTGGGATGTTCCTGTGTACGCAGAACACACTTCCGTTAGAGCCAACAGGATGGTTTTGTAGACCACAAGTCAATGAGGGTGTTAGCTGTGGAAATGAGCTGTCCATGGTTGGAAAATCGCGCGAAGAAGGATTCTAAGAAGATAGAAAAGTACCAACCAAGTACCAACCACAGCGGTGGGAGCCTACCAAACAGTACCCAGGCTACAAGATCGTACAGTCAGGTGAACGTTATTATGGACGTCATCATGGTGGTCCAAGGAGCTAGTTGTTGAGGCCTACTCTGGGACCTTAACTCGCCTTAACTCGCCCTAACTCGCAACTTGAGATTATGTTCAAATTTCCTTATCTCGCCTTAACTCGCCTAAACTCGCATTATCTCGCACAAACTCGCCCAATCTCGCCACTGCCAAGTGGATACCAATTTTAATATCTCATACTACTCTCAGTGTAATTTCACAATTACTCCATAAAGGGAAGACGCCAAAGAACACAAATTTCAAAAGTTTAACAGATAGTGATTTTTAAGGAAAACAGGGTTTTTACCTTTAAAAAAATATGTAATTGACCAATCCCATCCTTCTGGAATTTCCAATAGCCTCTGTGGTAAGGGTATTTCACCACTAAAGATTCGATGAGGTTTTTTCTTACTTAACATTGTCATGCCTTGGAGTCACAACTGGACTGTCCATGGAACTACCAGGAACAGCCTGAACATGCACTAACTCGTTGCCTAATGAAAAGGCTTCAATGCTAAGCATGGCAGAAATTCCAGAGGCATGGGGTCACGGGGTCTAACAAATCCCACATTCACTGTTTGTGTTTTGGTCCACAAAGTAAGTGACATTAAATAAAAGCACTAACAGTGAATCCACGAAAAAGTTTTCATAAAATAGTTTAAGTTTTAGTCTTACACTTCTACGCAAGACAAAGAAACACTCTAAATTCAAGATTGCTTTGAATCTCTCAATTGAAGAAAAAAATATTCTCCTATGATTTGTTTCTAATTTTTGGCTTAAAATAAGAAATCTCGAATTTAGAGTGAAATACGAAAACATAACACCAGAATATCAAATTTTTAGTTTTAAGCTGGCTAATGATTTACAAAAAAAGTTTACTTGTAATGGAAAGTTTAATTACTTTGCAAATATAATGCATCCAAGCTGTTTATGACATATGAAGAGTAGTAGCTTACGTATCATCTTATAATCTGATGAAGCTTAATGAGGATTCCAGCTGACAATCATCAATGAAAGGCTAGGATGTAGCCATAATCGAGAATCCTTTAAATAGTCCACATACTGATTGCAGTCCATATTTCTTATAAATAATTCTTATAAATATTTACCTCGTAATAGAAGATCTGTACATTGGTTCAACGTGACATCCTGTATGGCCTACATTGTATTCAGACTGGCAACCATAACCCAGGCATGATTCAGAAGACTTGTTACATTTAGCCCTTAACTGAATAAAGGATTGCTAAAGGTACAATATTTTGCATCGATAGCCAACTTCGTTCGCCATCTTTGAAATTACCCAGAAGATACTGGTAACTCGTGTCTTCCCAGGGCCCTCTCGCTCAGCCTATTGTCCTCGATATGCTTTCTGGGTAATTTTCAAGATGGACGGGAAAACTTCTGAAGAAAAGGAGGAGAACTCGTGCAAAACTTTTGATGTTAAATCGAGAAGTTTCAAAATGTATCACATGCAGGTAAGCTAAGCTAAAGCCTTTTACCCTTGCAACGTTAACTCTATAAAAGCCTTGTTGATCCCAGTCCACTGGCAAGTTTTAGGTTGGAAGCTTCAATGTGGCGTACGTGACATAAAAACACGCACAAAACGCCTGAGCCGGTGATCATTTTGTAAAAATGCGAAGCAGGAAAGTCAGGAAAGATTCATCAGTGACAACTTTTAAGAGTTTGGAAGACATTAAGCCGATAGTAGAGAGTGTTTTCTTTTTAATCAAGTTAAATAAGGTATAGTCCTCTGCACAACTATTAACACTTTCTGACATTTTGTAAAAAATAAGTAAGCCTAAACAGAAAATATGGTCATTTATTTTTTGCTGTTTTGCTAGGATAAGAATGATCAAGAGTTTACTATCAAGTTAACTTGATCCTCCTTTCTTTTGTAGAAATCAAGGTGTCTCTCACAGGATTGTCCAAGTTTAAGGAGGGAATTTCTAAAATATGGGAACTGCTGTCTTTGCGAAAAGGCATCAGCCTTCATTTGCAAGAAATTAGAATAGATTATCCGAGGAAACGAAAAGGCAATCATTTCTGGCAGTGAAAACAAACAATTGAGCTGGACTCCAAGGGAAACCATCAGTGACGTGGAGAGAATGGATCAAGTGGGAGACTTAAAGATAAGTCGTAATTTTCAAGGAGAAAGAAATTTCATTTCATTTCAGCAAAATTGATTGTGGCATAAAAATTTCCTCAGCTGAGTTGTAATTCGTCAGCTTCCTCAGATTTTTATACTAGTTCTTTGAAGAACATTGACACAGACTGCAAAAACTTTTTTTTTTTTTTTCAATTCTGGAGTTAGTGATAACAATTGATGACATGTCATGTGATACCTATTGTGCTCACCTGCCTATTAAAACATAGTGTTATTGATTTAAAAAAAATAAATAAAATTAAATTAAATATCCTACCTGTGCTTATACTACAGCTACATTTTTTTTTTATCAATTCATGATTGTTTTATTTTCATTTTTTTTCCTCACTACTGGTAATTTATTACTCTGCCAAATAATTATATAGCTTTAATGAATAATATATGACGATGATGACAATGATTATTATTATTATGATACAGCCACCAAATGGTCTAGTTTGGAGTCTAAATGCTATATAATTGATAAAGAACAGGACTCCATATCACTAGCATATCCATACTTAAGCTTGTCCAATTAGGAAAATATTTCAGTTAATAAATTTAAACAAGATTTGGCTTCATTCAACTTTGGAGCTCATCTGAAATTTTTGGTTTAATTTTTTCGTAATTGGACAACATGGAGCCTACTATATATAATTATATAAGACATACAAAGATTCCAAGGCATCTTTATATGTATGGTACTAAAGCATTTTATAAGTTTTAAGCCTTATAACCTCAACATAAGATGGATCATTTTCCCTTAACTCGCCTTAACTCGCCTTAACTCGCACAAACTCGCAACTAATGGGCGAGCTCAATTTTTCCTTATCTCGCCTTAACTCGCCTAAACTCGCATTAGCTCGCACAATCTCGCAGCGAGTTAAGGTCCCAGAGTAGGCCTTTGTTGATATGAGTAAGATGTTTGGAGCGCTATCGAGGGTTGTTCTCAGGAGGATGCAGAAGGTTGTCGTTCTCTGAACATTGCGCGGAAATGCCAAGTTATTACTAAGTAAGGCCATAAACCCAAATTTCAAGTGTTGTAACATAGATAGGGAACCGGATAAGCTTTACGTTTGCTTTAGTATTTCATTTTTATCATAAAAATATTAGGCTTCCATTAGTTTTATCTTTTTAATATAAAATAATACATTACTTTATTACATTATGTAAACCTTGGGTTTGCATTAGTTTTAGGTCATGAATCCTTAGGATTTCCTTTTTATTGCACCAGTGTAGAATTTATTATAATGATACTTTTTGCGGCTTAGTTCATTTCATTTTTTTTTTCGTGCTGTATACTGTATGTATTGTTCATCGAAGTCATTCGTTAAACATTTGACTATAGCTAGTGCAGGTATTTTTCTTTTTGTTAGCTAGTTACTATATGATACGGTATTAGTAAGAACTAAAGGTAAGCAATATAAAATTGGCTGAAGACGGGGACTACGGCTCTCGAGTTGTCTACCTGCTTAGCCAAATCAACTTACCATATACCGTGGTCAATGACACAAATTTAAAGCCGCTTTCAGGAACGGCTTATGGAAGACGTTTGCGATACCCGAAAATGTCTGAAATAGAACAAGGTTATCTTTAGAACAACATCCCGTTATATCCTAAATTTACTTAGGAACAGGCAAGTGAACTTAACACTGATCAAGGTATCCATGTTTTAGCTTCTTTTTAAACTAGTATTGGATCAATTTTCTCAAGTTTTATCCCAGCAAGAAACAGTTCCAATGCCTAAGAATAATTATTAATTTTCAAACACCGCGCCACTATTGTTTTTGGGAATCCGACTGATGCAAAGATACGATTTAGCGTTTTAGAAAGATAGCAAACCGCGTGACGAAGCCACCTTAATAAGAATCTCTCAGATTATGCTGACTTATGTAAACCTCTCTTCCCTCAGTTTTCTTACAAGCACCAAAGCCACCAAGAAATGCTTCTGTCAAAGTTGTAAAGGAAACGCATGTAAAGATAAAGTGGGAACGTTCACTTGATGACATTGATGGAAAGTTGAAATATTCTGTGGACTGCTTCAGATGCAAGTCCAGGAAATACAACGAATGCAAGGACTCTTGTGGTTCAAGTGTACAGTACAAGCCAAATAAGGACAACATGAAAAAGCGTACTGTGAGAATAAATGGCTTGCCTCCTGGTAGTTTCCTGATATTTCGAGTTTACTCTGTCAGTGACTTCAATAAACACGTCAAAGATAGAGACAAATGGAACTATGATACGGTATTAGTAAGAACCAAAGGTAAGTAATATATAATTGGCTGAAGCCAGGATTGCGGCTCTCGAGTTGTCTACCTGTATAGACAAATCAACTTACCACTCACCGTGGTCAATGTTACAAATTAAACTCGCAAGAAGGAACGGCTTGAGGAAGACGTTTGCGATACCCGAAAATGTCTTAAATAGAACAGTGTTATCTTTAGAAAAACATCCCGTTATATTAGTCCTAAATTTGCTTAGAAACAGGCAAATGAACTTAACACCGATCAAGGTATCCATTAGCCTGCGTGCAGACGATAACTAAACTCTGATTAGTACCGTCTGCAAAGCGCAGAGATCCTTGTTCTCGACCCCCAACGGACTCAACGAATTACCGGAAGTGCTTTTCGAATTTCCCTTCAACCTGATTGGCGATCACGACAAACAAAACAAAGGCCTTTTTTAACTGGCCAATCGTGGCGCGTTCTCAAATCTGGGTACACAGCTGGAAGTCCAGAACAAGGATTTCGGCGCTGTTTCGCAGACNCGTTTTAGAAAGATAGCAAACCGCGTGACGAAGCCACCTTAATAAGAATCTCTCAGATTATGCTGACTTATGTAAACCTCTCTTCCCTCAGTTTTCTTACAAGCACCAAAGCCACCAAGAAATGCTTCTGTCAAAGTTGTAAAGGAAACGCATGTAAAGATAAAGTGGGAACGTTCACTTGATGACATTGATGGAAAGTTGAAATATTCTGTGGACTGCTTCAGATGCAAGTCCAGGAAATACAACGAATGCAAGGACTCTTGTGGTTCAAGTGTACAGTACAAGCCAAATAAGGACAACATGAAAAAGCGTACTGTGAGAATAAATGGCTTGCCTCCTGGTAGTTTCCTGATATTTCGAGTTTACTCTGTCAGTGACTTCAATAAACACGTCAAAGATAGAGACAAATGGAACTATGATACGGTATTAGTAAGAACCAAAGGTAAGTAATATATAATTGGCTGAAGCCAGGATTGCGGCTCTCGAGTTGTCTACCTGTATAGACAAATCAACTTACCACTCACCGTGGTCAATGTTACAAATTAAACTCGCAAGAAGGAACGGCTTGAGGAAGACGTTTGCGATACCCGAAAATGTCTTAAATAGAACAGTGTTATCTTTAGAAAAACATCCCGTTATATTAGTCCTAAATTTGCTTAGAAACAGGCAAATGAACTTAACACCGATCAAGGTATCCATTAGCCTGCGTGCAGACGATAACTAAACTCTGATTAGTACCGTCTGCAAAGCGCAGAGATCCTTGTTCTCGACCCCCAACGGACTCAACGAATTACCGGAAGTGCTTTTCGAATTTCCCTTCAACCTGATTGGCGATCACGACAAACAAAACAAAGGCCTTTTTTAACTGGCCAATCGTGGCGCGTTCTCAAATCTGGGTACACAGCTGGAAGTCCAGAACAAGGATTTCGGCGCTGTTTCGCAGACGGAGTTAACCAGAGTTTAATTTCGTCGGCGCGCAGGCTAGGTATCCATCTTATAGCTTTTTTTAAAACTAATCTTGGATCAATTTTCTCAAGTTTCATCCTAGCAAAAGACGACAAGAAAAAGTTCCAATGCCTAAGTCTTATTAATTTTTAACCGTTATAGAAAGATAGCAAATAGCGTGACGTAGCAACTTAATAGGTATCTCTTATATTATGCTAACTTATGTAAATCTCTCCTCAATCAGCTTTACCAAAGGCACCAAGAAATGTTTCTGTCAATGTTGTGAAGAAAACGTATGTAAAGATAAAGTGGGAACGTTCACCTGATGACATTAATGGAAATTTAAGATATTCTGTTAACTGCTTCAGATGCAAGTCCAGGAAATACAACGAATGCAATGATTCTTGTGGTTCAAGTGTACGGTACAAACCAAATAAGGACAACATCACAAATGGTACCGTGACAATAAATGGCTTGCCTCCTGGTAGTTTTCTAAAGTTTCGAGTTTACTCTGTCAGTGACTTCAATGAACACGTCAAAGATAGAGACAAATGGAACTATAATACGGTATTAGTAAGAACCAAAGGTAAGTAATATATAATTGGTTGATGCCAGGGTTGCGGCTCTCGAATTGTCTACCTGCATAGACAAAAATCAACTTACCATTCACCGTGGTCAATGTTACAAATTAAAGTCGCAAGAAGGGACGGCTGATAGAGGATGTTCGCGATACCCAAAAATGTATTAGATAGAACAGTGTTATCTTTAGAAAAATCTCCCGTTATATCAGTCCTAAATTTGCTTAGAAACAGGCAAATGAACTTAACATAGATCAAGGTATCCATGTTCTAGCTTCTTTTTAAACTAATCTTCGAACAATTTTCTCAACTTTCATTCCAGCAAGAGACGACAAGAAACAGTTCCAATGCCTAAGTCTTATTAATTTTTAACCGTTTTAGAAAGATAACAAATAGCGTGACGTAGCAACTTAATAGGAATCTCTAAGATTATGCTGACTTATGTAAATGTCTCCTCCCTCAGCTTTTCCAAAGGCACCAAGAAATGCTTCTGTCAATGTTGTGAAGGAAACTTATGTAGAGTTAAAGTGGGAACGTTCACCTGATGACATTGATGGAAAGTTAAGATATTCTGTTAACTGCTTCAGATGCAATTCTAGGAAATACAACGAATGCAATGATTCTTGTGGTTCAAGTGTACGGTACAAACCAAATAAGGACAGCATCACAAATGGTACTGTGACAATTAATGGCTTGCCTCCTGGTAGTTTCCTAAAGTTTCGAGTTTACTCTGTCAATGACTTTCACGAACACGTCAAAGATAGACACAAATGGAACTATGATACCGTATTAGTAAGAACCAAAGGTAAGTATATAATATATAATTGGCTGAAGCCAGGATTGCGGCTCTCGAGTTGTCTACCTGCATAGATAAAAATCAAGTTACCATTCACCGTTGTCAATGTTACAAATTAAAGTCGCAAGAAGGGACGGCTTATAGAGAACTTTTGTGATACCCGAAAATGTATTAGATAGAACACTGATATGTTTAGAAAAACATCTCGTTCTATCAGTCCTAAATTTGCTTAGAAAGAGGCAAATGAACTTAACAAAGATCAAGGTATCTATGTTTTAGCTTCTTTTTAAAGTAATCTTCGAACAATTTTCTCAACTTTCATCCCAGCAAGAGACGACAAGAAACAGTTCCAATGCCTAAGTCTTATTATTAATTTTTAACCGTTTTAGAAAGATAGCAAATAGCGTGACGTAGCAACTTAATTACAAATAGATTCCATGTTGCCGTGGGTCTGTTCAGTAATAGATCACAGAGGACGTCAAAATGTGGTAAAAACAACAGTGACACACTCGCCTGCGGCTCGTTTGCCACTTCTTTGTTTTTACCACATTTTGACGTCATCTGTGATCTATTACTGAACAGACGCACGGCAACATGGAATCTATTTGTTAAATGAATTTATGAAATATAGCTACAATAGACTGATCTGGAAGGGTTTTAAAGGGGGGTTCATGAATCCAACTTTAGCGAGGCCTTTAGTGTCCGGGTGAAAGCGATAACTATTAGTAGCAGTTCTTTGCACAAAATACTGATAGTTCAAAACTTTTGTATGTAAGATGAAAGGTATCGCTTTGCCGTTGCCTGAGAATAGGTTATGTACGGTCTGTCAATACTAATTATCGTTGGGCCGTTTCCAGTGCTGGTCTACAGCAGTTTCAATTAAGTACGCTCCGAAACAGACGGTTGTTAAGTGTTTTACTGAACTATGTTGTGTAATATAAAAGCTGATAAGGGTCTGATTACTGTCGGAGACTCGCGAAGGCAGACTAGAGTATACACTGACAGTTACGTATTAATATGCTGTATCTAATTATTATATATCGGTATCGGTTTGCCTGTGAAAGTGAAAGTGTTACGTGGTTCGTTAAATTGCTATTTTATGCTCTCCCAACACGAAATTTGCTTCATTACACATCAGGTAGGAATGATGTTTTACATGTTTCTCCAATCGCATGAATTCTTCACTGAAAAGGAACTTCCAGTCTGTATTGTTTTCCCGAGAAATTCCCTTTCCCGGTGCATTTCCAGCAAAGTGTAATCATGGTAATAGCTAGACTGTTCACAGGCCAGGCCTGCTATTGCGTATTGTGTTACGGGCGGCCATGTTGGATGAGTTTCAAATCAACTTAGCGGGAGGGGGACAGTTTGGGAGGAAGCGGGAAAAATAACTGAAGAGAAATTTTTCTCGCCTACCTTCCCCGACACCCTTAGACACCCTTTAAAGTTAATATCACATCATTTTTACGACATATTTTTCAGGTTCTGCCATAACACAGCAAGAGCGTTCCATTAGAGGTGATATTCAGACAGTGGATTGTCATGCAATCAAAAGAGACCCAAGCAA